ACTTAACTACCGAATGTTGTCTTTTATGTGTTGCAAATGATCATTTTTGGTGTAGTGTCTATCTCTTCTTTTCAATCACAGATTTTTCAATAAAATAATATTACATACAACAAAAAACTTTTTCTTCATTTTTAACCACACATTCTCCATCAATCTATTATTCCAAAATGCATTCTACAAAAAATATGGGGCTTAAATAGGCCCTTAGTCTAATGAATATGTAAATGTGTTGATTTGTGGACATATGGAATGATTATATTGGATTTAGGAATCTGTCTATTGTTATCTATGTTCAATTCTCAATTACGTAATTTAGTGTGATTTGTATATTCATGATAATCGATAAATTTATTGTATTCAACATTCATTCTCAAGATAACTTAAGTCTATTCTAAACATGATCGGATCATATTTCTAGTCCGAATTCATACGAATAGAGTGCATTCAAACATGCGATTATCAATAAGATTGCAAATGTGATATATGCTATTCATAACATCTATTGCCTTTGTGTTAATCAAGTAATTTTATACTCATTGTGAACCTCCCTATACTAAAGCAAGCAACTAATTACTTAATTGATGATTAAACAATTATATAATGCAATGAGCATACATAATTAATAAAGAAAAAAAATAATTACTAAACTACTTGTCATGAATTAAAATAAATAAATAAAATGATTTATCTTCATCCAATACAAATAAATATCTTCATCCAATACAAATAAAATGAATATGGAGACAAGAAATATGTAGAAGAAATTTTGTACTTTTGATCTTCAACCCTGAGTCTAATTCTTCAAGATATTGACGTAATTAGCATTTAATTCTTGCTAGGTTTGATTTTCTCTCCCAAAATTGTGTGAATTCACCTATTGTTTTTGATGAATGTTGTGAAATAGATGTGAAATTAAGAGGTTAGAGATAGATAACCCAATGTATAGCCTGCATTTTGTATTTTGGTGATGGGATGGCTCGTGCACGTGAGAGAGAAATGATGAGTTTTTGCCTTTATTGCAATCTGGTCCTTGAACTTTTCATAATGTACATTTCGATCCTTTTGTTGCTTTTCGTTCCTTTGCATCCAATTGACTCCTAGCAATCTGCAATCATCATTTTGTAGTTCGAATCAACTATTAAATATTTGTACTTTGGTCCCCAAAGATCGGATTTATTCATTTTCACCATTTTTTGTTCATTTCTTCCAATTTTACCATTTTGTATCACAAAATTAAACTGTAACTCATCCAAATCAATAAGAAATACTCCAATTTAATGACTAGATCGTTAACAAGTAATAATGTGATGAGTGAAGAGTATTGTCCCACAAGGAATGACTTATAACTCAAGTGTACTAATTTTCTATAGATTCAAAGTATGTGTAATATAAAAGAGAGTTTTTGTTGTAAATATTCTAACTTATTCTAACACTATTTAAGTGCTCATGTAATGCATGGATTACATTTTTATTTAAGGTAATATTAGTGTGTTGAGTGTTAAGGGTTGACAAAAGGTGCGTTGAATGGGTTTTTTGGAAGCAAAGAGAGTGTTTCACCGTGTCTTCAATTGAATGACTTGAATGTCGGAGCATGATATATAAATTTGAAGCAGCAAACAGAAAACCAACATTTTATACTTTCATTCTACAAGTGAGAACAATAACATTCCAAAAATCATACTGACAAGAGGACAAATAGCCAAAATTATTCAGAAAAGTGTCATGGAAGAGAGATGGGGGACTGACTATCAACGATATGCATAAATTAGAAAAGTCTATAGCATAATAGATGCTGGTTGATATAAAATACAGTTATTAGTTTGTTTCCTCAAGAATATACTATTCATGGGCGGACGCAGGGGTGGCCTGGGAAGGTCACGTGACCCCCCAACGACCTTTAAATTTTCTATGTTTTTGTTTCAATTTTTGAAGTCATTATGAGATGTGAAACAAAATCGAAATATTATATTAATAATACCATTTCGAAGTGCTCACAGTCTAGTTTTCTACGTCGTTAATGGTATACAAAACGATCAATCGTAGCAAATATTACGACTTGTCAAAATATGCCGTTCAAAATTAGTATTTCGAAAATTTCGATAACATGCTAACTTTGAAAATTCTCCTATGATCGTACACTAACCGAATCTACAAATTGCTTATGCCATCTCAAAGCTTATTTCGAGACCTACATTGGAGGTATATCAAATAGTCCAAACAGTTATCAAAAATAGTTAAAGATACGTTAAACGCGAGTCTTAAAAAAATGCATCTAATTCCCATTTTCTTTAAAAAAAAATTCAATTATTTCATTAACATTTATTACTTTTGCGATACAAATTTCTCAATATGATTTTCATCATTTTATTAGAAAATT